CCCCCCCCATAGGGAGACATTAGTGGAGTTATCAAGAATAACAAACATACAGAGGAACAACCATATAAAGTTCAAGGAAGTTGCTTCGTTGGTTACTTACCCTTGAGACTTTGCCCAACGTGAGAATTGATACATCTGTACAGTCTCATTCGATGCATGACAAGCAAGAAGTAGGTAATTGCGGGGCTGCACCATCCATGCAAATCTCATAAACAGTGCTGAATAGACGCACATTGCTGCAGTGACAAGAGCAGATATTACGACTTTGACCAAACTCATAGACATGATAAATAAATGAGTTCCAACATTGATAGGTTCAACCTGCTGTCATGTTTCCAGAAATCATTTCTGGTGGCTTGTTCATGTCTGCTAACCCCTGTTTGAATCCTCCAGCATGATCAAAACAATTGCAAAAAGAAACTAAGAAAAGCTATCAAGTGAAAGGAAACATAGCAAGCATGGTAGAACTGATACTCAAATAGAAGTCAAACATACAGCAGCAACAAATCCCCAGTTGGCGACAGGTCCCCAGAAGTGAGTAGTTTTTGGACCAACAGGGCTGTTCAAGAATGCTCGGAATGACGCCATTCTTCAATTTCTAGAACAGACCATAAAATTCAAAATTAACGAAGCATCATGCAATGGTGACAAATAAAGATAGACTAAAATCATATACTACATATAAAGCATCTACATCGGTGATCAATTTGAGAGAGAGAGAAGAGAATAAGAAAGGGATCATCAGATAAACTATGCTGATGAATTTAAGAAACAAAAACCATTATCGTTGTCACAAATCCCGAACTTCAATTTCATCAACTACCACGGTGATAAACATGGAAAATTCAATGATACTATGCCCTCCCACATATATTTGCCTTCATATATGAAGATATCAGAATTAAACCTAAACAATATTCCTGCAGAATTCAACTTTGATTTCTTTTTCGTCGGTGACAACTCCTCTAGAATCCCCTCTATAGTCAAGTGCAGAAATGAAAAAACAGAGAGAAGAAACATGGCAGCATAGTCGAAGTAGTGTTTTCCTGAAACCAAACCTAGCTAGTCAGACAAGTTTTCTCCCCCGCCCCCCCCCCCCCCCCCCCCCCCCCCCCCCCCCCCCCCCCCCCCCCCCCCCCCCCCCCCCCCNTTCCCAACCATCAAAAACCCGTGCCACTTAAAATTCCAATGACATTAATTATAAAGAATTCTATAAACTCATAATCATCAGTGGGCAAACGAGCGTTACGGTGCGTGTATATTTCGATGTAACTTCCAAATTCATTAACATCCAAATTGTCGTATCTGCATATTTAATATTTCAACATACCTTCGTATTGTATCACGATTCACCCCAATCCGGGGGGGGGGGGGAACTGGAAAAAAAAA